AATTTAACAGACATCAGGTACATGTACTGTAGGCTAGCTTGCAACTTACAAGTGGAGCAAATTTTTACAGACAAGGAAATTTTCCCCCATCCAGCCATGAACATTTTCCTCCTCCTCTGCTAAAATTTAGCTTATAGATTTGATATCTCAATGATTCGTATCAGGAGAGGGATTACAAGGTGATTTTCCTCTGCAATCAATCATTCATGAATCAAACATGAGATTAAAGATGAGATTTAGAAGATCATTTTAAGCCATTACGTAATATTCTGGAGGTTGTTTGTTTGTTTGTATCCCTAGATCTTAAACCCTCAAGATGTAAACATAATGCCTTTCCTGAGATACAGGCCTACACCTGTAACCCCCCCCCCCCCATGATTGTCATTTCAGTCTAGACATCAAACTATTAATTTGAAACCTAAGGTCAAACAACAATTGACAAAGGTCAAAGAAGAGCAATCTTTGTGACCTTCCTCATTTCAAAATATTACCAGTAAACAGGAAAGTGGTTGAAAATTGCCATTTAATGTTTGGACTGATATTCATAACCCACTCTCTCTCTCTCTCTTTAATCAATTCATAACATTTTAGTTAATATCACCCAAGTTCTATCCCTGTCTCTAATAAGATATCAATCAATCAGTCAATTCATTATCCACCTCATAGTAATCAATTAGGTCACATATAGGAAAATAGAAACTGCAATTGGATGTACCAATCAACTTGGACACAGTTGTCAACCATACTCAATCTGACAGATCTCATTAAAAAGGTAGACAACGTCAATGGTTCTCTCCTCTCATTCCAAAACTTTCTGCTTGGCTGACTGAACGTGTGAGTTTGTTGGTGGGTTAGAATTGCAAAGCCTCGTTCTGCCTCATTGGGTGCTAGTGAAGGAGGCCCTCGTGTGATGAGTCTTACTTGTCTGTGGGAAGCTGCTCTTGTAAACCACAAGGTCATAATAATTTTAAAATTCTATTCTGAGGTTTAAAAAAGTGAAAAATGGTTGAATATGAGTAAATCGGATTGGAATAATAACTCAGGTGGCTGTGGGGAAATGGGAGGATGAATTTTTGGATAGCATAGGATCTACCTTGTTCCTGGAAGCAAACAACCTAATCAATAATCCAATCATAACCCTATCCCTATATCTCTTCTAAAATAAAGCCTGGAGAAAATGTTATCGTAGTACATGTTTATATTTTTCTCTCTGTATTTTGTATATATATATGTACATGTATTTATTTCAATATGATATTTGTAATTGTACCCCATGATATAGACTTATTATAATTTAGACTTATGATATTTAATATATTTATTTACCTTTTTAACTCACTTGCATTTTCCCAGACTAATATATTATTATCATTTACTCCCTCCTTTTCTTTGACCCATTTTGCTAACTTAACCAGGAGCACTTTAAGGTGTGGTTGCGGAACCCAGACAGTGTATGTGCCCGATTATAGTAGACCAAATGTGCTTGCTTGGATTTGTTTATCCCCTTATGTATATATTTGCATCCCATATTTCATCATCATCGTCATCATCATCATCATCTCATCATTGCATCTTATGTCTGTTACTTATTTTTGTATGTTGAGATGCATTAAATTAAGATGTACTCAATAGCTCGTGCAGGCCAAAGTATATCATCAAATGAGCTATCATAAATAACAGTACTCTCTTTCTTGGAACTAGGCTACACAATTACAGCTGTAAACATTTCCCTCGCTATATACCGGTACTGCCGAGTGCCTAACATACGACTTTGAAGGTTACTTCCATTTGATATTAGATTATTGGGGAGAGAGCAACCAATTTAGGCCAAGTAATCTGGGTGAGACTACTTCTCTGCAATTGTAACTTGTAAGATATGCGACAGTATACCACGACAGTACCACATATGAAATCAGAATGATTGAAAAGAAGAAAAAAAGGTTCCTTGCCCCCTTTATAACTTGCTTATATTTAACCAAAACAAATCACCCGCTTAGAGCCAGAAGTGCATTAGCTCTGTGTTAAAGTATGAGAGTTGATGCTATGATATACTTCTTTTGGCCGAAACAAATGTTACTTTGCATTTTACACACGGTAATTACAGCATATTTGAAATGCATATTCAAAAGAAAAATACCCCTTCTCATTTATGATGTGCCTCTTTTTTAAATATTAAATCAAGTATGACTTTGGTACTTGCCAAACAACTTGCAAAAAAATAGGGTTTCTCCTCCCCATCTGTGATTTGCTTTTATTTTTTAAACCAAAACTTATTAATTTGCTATTGGCTATTCCCGTGTTACACTTTGCCAATATTTAGTTGAAAAAAATTTATCAAGTTGTTTGTCCTCTTCAAATTTACCCCTATTCCCTTCTCCCTTGTTCAGTTAAAAAATATCCTTTGATATATAAAAGACAAAATCAGTAATGATGTTTGCTAAATTTACAGTTTTGTGAGAAATGGTCCAACCCTAGGTTGAAAATGCATGCATGAACATACATGTATTGGTGAATAAATGTGATGGCAGGTTGTCTAAAGTAGCATCATTAAGTAGTGAAAACTGTGTGTACATGAATGCTTTCATGTTTAATGCATCTTGGTTGATTGAAGATTTGGTGTAAATAGTGATTTCTTGCTGAAAACTGTTATGTGTGATGCAATGCAAATGAATGAAACGTCAATATGTATGAGATGTCAATGTGAAAGAATTGGGATGAAAGTTTCATTCATACATGACTTGGTAAACCCAATTTTCTTTTCTTTATTCAGTGAAATTAACTTTTTGAAGTGCAAATTGAAATTTTAAATGGGGGTGGGGGCAAGAAAGCAATGTTCAACAAAGGAGATATGTTCTCATTTATACTTGACATTATTTTTTAGGTTTAAACAAATTGAAGCATACTGTGTTTATGTCATTTAATATATTTATTTTTATTTAAGTCATTTTTTTACATCATGTATGAACGAAGCTTTCATGTGAGAGATGAATACCGGTAGTGGAAATGATTCAATGTTGAGAGCCTATTATTTCAGGTAAGGGAGGGGCATTCATGTTTTCTGCCCCATGGATTCCTCACAAAAAGCATTGTTAGGGTGATTTTTTGACAATCATCATCATGTGCACATAGGCTCATTTTTTAGTTTCCACCCACCGTGCCATGCGTATGAAATCAATTTTCATCCATTGTTCTGGTGTTCCACTTCATTCATCTGTCATCACATTCTCATTCACATCAACCTACCTGGCCGCCATCTTTAATTTGTAGTCGATGTACATTATACAAGGTGTTTTACTCAATTTTTACTGCCATTTTCTTTAGCACTAGAAGGATTTTATGTGTATGCCATGAGAATTTCAGTTGGTGTCAAGTTTTATTTTATAATTTTTTTTCAACATCATCGGAGCAAGAAGGCTGTTATGAGTTCATTAGGCCAGGAGTTAAATGTTTTCATCTCTATTTTCATCACCATTCGCAATTACCTGTAGTTTAGAGCAACTAGTCCATTTCTCATTTTCATTCCTATGAAGATGAGCAAGATTAGAAACTGTGAGTAGATTCTCAATGGGAGAGCAATTAAATCCTTGGTCTTAAATGTTTTCAATTTTATTATCAGTGATGAGTAGTTTTAACAGGTAGCTTAGAATTAGAGTAAGACTGTCATCAAGTGTAAATGGATTCCAGTTTATATGTACATTAGCCGAGAAACAGTAATTGTTTTCAGCTCATTTTCATAATTTCTGGTGCTATTAGTCTAGCTCTATTTTTTGTTTTAATTAGGTTATTTGTTTGAAATAATCACTTTTCACTGTTTGCTCAGTGTAATATAATTATTTGCTCTTGTCATAAAAGCAAATATTGTAGAACTCCATTAATTTCCCAATTTAATGAATGACTATAGCCTGTTAATCAGTTGTGGTTTCAGTGGCTTATGTTTTATCCTTGGAAGTTGAGGACAAATATCATCCATCAAAGCATGTTAGAATTATGATTCATATTAAAATATAGATTAGTTCATCTCATACTGTAAGATACATGTATGCCATGACATAATTACCATCAATATAATTGTGCATCTTATTTCATTCATCGCATCTCATTCCATTCGTTCTTTGACATAGAGTGTATTTAAGAAAAAAATTATACTACTAATCCATTTGAACTTGACAACTTATTCTAGGGTTTCACACTAATTTATATTCACAGGGGGCCATATTATAATTTTGTAGGTTCTGTATGCAAGAGAGGGGTTGAACTTGGGATTTAGATGAATTTTGAGGGTTAAGCACATACTTTTCTTATATTTATTGGTGCAATATTTTGGTGAGGTTAAAAATGACTTTACAGGCATGAATATTTTTACATTTATAATTGTAATTGCTGGTGAAATATGTTGCATGGGTTTGCAAAATAGTTTGAAGCACATATCTATGCACTCTGATAATCGATGGGGGGGGGGGGGGGGGGGGGGCTTAGAAAAATTTGCTCTTCACTTTGAGTCATTTACTATACATACAGTATTTAACCACACCATCTGCTTGGTGTCAGAAGGACGCTTCTTCATCTTAATTTGTGGAGAGTTCATGCCCTTCTGGCTCTCAGCAGACGATATACAAGATTATCTCTTGATGTTCGTCATGATATAATACAGTCAAACCTGTCTATAGCGACCACCCAAGGGAAACACAAAAAGTGGTCTTTGTAGACAGGTTCCTTTAGCACATGTTTCAATGAGAAATCGTTTTGAAGGGAAACCCAAAAATGTGGTCTTTGTAGACAGGTGGTCACTAAAACATGTTATACTGCACGATCATTTGATACGAGAGTCCATAATTCTTGACTCTTCCATCTCAGGAGAGCCTTTATTCTCTATATGTATGTTTGCCCCCTTGTTTATCATTGACGCCCATTTGGACCTCGGCTGACGAAATTTTCTACACCCCTCTCGTTAAGGAGAGCCTTTATTCCATCTATGTATCACCCTTGTTTCATTGTAACAGGGTATATTCCCAACCTGTCGTGCTGACGTCGATATCTGTCGGGGTTTCCAGGTTTGTTGCACTGGATGGTCACTTCACCTCAAGAAATTGCATCCCAAAACTAACAAAATTGTTTTGTTTTATTTTACAAATTAATTGGTTTCTGGATGATAATTTTTTTTTTTCAACCCCTTTTCATTTACCGTATTCAAGTTTTTGGTGATGTGTTTTGAAAAACTCTGAAATTCTCAATGATGACAAAGAGGGCAGCTAAAGGTATTTTGATAAAAATGCATGATAATTGGGGAAAAACTGATATAGATTATATTCTATTGCATGATCGCCAAATGCATTCTTCTTCTGGCATGTTTTAAGTAACAATTAAATTACAGTGTCATTTGATTAAGAAAGATGTATCAAATGTAGAATTCAGACATTCAAGTTCACGTCTTCATATGGCTGACATATTTTACCTGCCCATTTTAAAACAATTTTTCTGATGCAAATCGGAAAAATCAAAGCAGGAAATTAATTTTAACGTTTGATTTGTGCAGCAGCTTGTAGATTACCCCCGCAGATTTTGTTTTTGTTTGTATTCATTAATGCGAGAAATCATTTTCATTATCAATATTTACTCTGCTTAAACCTGCTTAAACAGTTAGTACTGTTTGTAAAAGCAAGTAAAAAGTAAAATACAATTGTACATTCACTACATTATCAAATTACAATGGATGAAGTAGGGAAATGTTCCGGGTAGTTTGGACGACAAAAGCAATGAAAATACTTCTTATTCAGAAGCATGAATATCTCAATTGAAAAACAAAGTACTTTTTTTCTTCATTTGTTTGCAGGCAAGTGCAACCAACTGCGACATTAACATATCATTTTCTATTTAAAGAGTCGAGCCAGAATACTAGTAGTGTTAAATCATATACTTTAACAAATATCTAATTTCCTTCTGGCTGGCAACGGACAATATCATCTTTTTGAAGCCAGAAAGGCATTAACTCTGCGTAAAATAATATGAGTTAATGCCCTTCTGGCTTCGAAGGGACAATATGTACTTGTAATATTATTTTTTCTACTGAAGGGAAAGTATTATTTTGAGGAATCATTTAAAAAAAAATCAGAAATCAGTCTCTAGAAGATATCAGTAGCAACAACATTTTGAAACGTTGACATTTTGTTATTTCAAATTCATTGATAACATTCAGAAAATCCACATATTCTTGTCAAGATTATTTGTATCGGTTCATATTATGTAATTCAGTGTGAATTTGAGATCAAAGAAAGTAAAAATAGTAGTTATTGATATTAATGGTTAAAAATCATGAACAAGGAAATTTATGAATGTAATTAGATTGACAGTGCATGAGTTTCTCATGACATATAAAGTGGCTGTTGCTTCATCAGTATGAAGTACTTGAAATTATAGGGAAATGGGATGGCAGAAGAGATGATGAGAATTACAAGTGTCGAGGATTGTTATTAATTTCACACTCCTGAACATGGAATGACTTGTGTTCCGCGTGAGTACCGGTGTGCATACATTATCGTGAGATTTCCCTGGACGACCCTCTTGAACACCCTCCAATGAATATCCTAACGCCCTCCCACCCACCCTCACCCTCCAATTGATAAGGAAAGCCAATTATGACAGTAACCGTAAGCCTCTGTCCCCCGGAGTTACTAATGCATGCAGACTCCCTACCGCTAAAACGCATCGTGCCTTAAAATATCACTAGAGGGCATTACCACTCTTCTTTTCCCCGTCTCTCTCTGCTCCGCGGTCGACATCGGCTATCCCAGCATGCCGTTTTGCATTTCAAGTGCGAGAGCCTCAAGACACTTCTTAGCATGCTGGCTGTATATAAAACCCTTATGTTGAGATGGAACACACCCAGATGCTCACTCGCTAGTCTAAAGATTTATAATCGTCCTTTCTTTTTGGGGAATAATCATGTAATATCACATATATCTTTTCTTAAAAGGGGCAAGTTATTGATTTTTCTGGATTATTCAAAATGCTTGGTTCACTGAGTGTGATTGTATAAGCCAATCATTTGAAATTGAATATGAAGTGAAGAATTGGAATGTTTCATTTCAGACGGTTCATTACAACTGTCATAACAAATGTCAGCTGGACGTGCTTTCCAATACTCTAGCATGAATAGCTCAAATGACATATGAAAGTTGATGGGAAATCTGTCATTGTGTTTTGATAAGTAGATTAAAATGCTGAGAAAATCCAGATCAAAATAAGGCCAAGGTTAGCATAGATCTTGAATTAGTAAAAATCAGAAGCAAATTGTGAATTTTTTGGGGATAGCGCAAGTACCCTTTGATAAAGCAGCACAAAAATGACTAAATATCAGTCATGTACAAGACAATTAATTCAAGTAATATACTAAGGCAGCAAAGAAATGACTTAATATCATTCATGCACTGAAAAGGAAGACAATGGATCTCCTAGGCAATCATTCTGGACACATTACACCTGCGCATACTGAATAATAAATGTGGGGTACCTCATGGGTAACCTGATAATAAGCAGGATTTCTATAGCAGCTCCGACTGGAAAGGGGTCGTGCAAGCAATCAAGTCTGGAAGTTCACCAGGATGAAATTAATCATTTTTATTGCTCTGGAGCTTAATTCAAGTCAGGAATTCTCTCTAATTATTCACATTGGAAGCCAACAGGCAATTTAATGTAAAAGAATGAATGCCAAACAGTTGGTTTAAATGATTTGCAGACAAGGAATGAATTGCTGATCAATGATGATACTTTACTTTACTGTTAACGACATTGATATTTTAGTAATCTAACTCTGGAAGGAAGAGCTCTGGAATCTCTTAAAAAGCAAAGTACAAAAATATGAAATACATAAGTATGTTGTATGGAAACCACTCTTTTACATTCAGAATTCCAAGAAGAGCTTAGAACTGAGACACCCCCCCCCCAAAAAAAAAAAAATATTTGTTACACTGTCACATACATGTCTAACTTTCCATACATGTCTAACTTCCATGCAATAATTTGCAACAACAAAACAAAACAAAACACTCAATCATTTTACAACTTCTTTGTAGGTCACCATTTTCCCACTTTATTTTCAGCTTACTGTCTGTATTTCTTTGTATCTATAGCCACTCCATCTCATTACTGGCATCCTGAACATTACTGTACTATTTTCTCCTCTTCCCAGATACTCATTACTCGCCCACTCCCCGTCACCGTCGGTGCCCCCCTTCCCGCAACCCCCGTTTCTTTCATGACGTTGATTAACTATGAAATTCATATTTCCTCAATGAAGTAATACTCGTAGCATTTTCAAATAAAACTGATATTGCAACCTTGGGCTAGTACATGACACTCACCGTCCCTCATCTCCTTTGAATGCTGTTATTAGATCTTGCTGGTGCGTAAGAGCCACTTTTTTTCCCCTTGTGTGGAAAGAAATAAAAGGTTACAGTTTGCTTTGGTTTTTTGTACGATTGCGAGACACCCTAAGCTATTATATCCTTGCAGTATCCAGACATTCATCTTTGGCTAATATATATCCATACTGTAGGCAACGGATAATACTGTTCCCCACTGCCATTGCATTATTGGCATAGCATGGGTTCGCTGTCGAGGGGGGGGGGGGGGGGTTGGAGGATTGATTACTTCATAAAAAGCATTGTAAGCATTAAAAGAAAAAAAAACATTGGGTTAGGGAAGGGTTTAACTTCCACTTCCCCTTTCAATTTCTTTCTCTCCTTTTTCCCCACTTAATTCTCTTTTTATGGGACCTCGCTTAAAAGCTAGTTGTCAACTAAATTACATAGTTGACAACTAGGCTTAACAATCTGTTCTATATATACAACTGTATGAGTCCTGTTTCACTATGATTAAAAAAATCCTTGGGTAATAAAAAAGCCAAGTGAATGCTTACATGCCATACTGTCCTTTCATGTCAATGTGATGTAGTGACATCACGCCTCCATTTACATGCATTCACAGCTCCATCAATACCGACAGGAGGAAGACCTCATACTCGCACCTCATCATCATCCCTCATACAATGTCTCATCCCCATCTCCTCCTCCTCATCACATCATCTCCTCCTCCTCATCACATCATCTCCTCCTCCTCATCACATCATCTCCTCCTCCTCATCACATCATCTCCTCCTCCTCCTCCTCATCGGCAGGTTTTGTTTCATCCTTCAGCAACTCCCTCATTCACCCCAGCCCAGACAAATGACAAGATACTCTCACTTCATAGCCATACCTCATCTCTCCTGCCTTTGTTCACCCGGTGAACACCTTACTCATTAATCTGAGTCCACTATCATATGTTGAAATCAAGAAGGGTGTTTCACCAATATTAGATGGTACGAGGTGACACACTTTTGGCTCTCTAAACAGACAAAATTGGAGGATCATGAACATCTATACTGCATCCTGTCTGCCCTGCTTACTCTCAAAACACCCCCATGCATCAATCCATTTTATAATAAGAATGGTAGAATCCATAAAAAAATGTACCTCTTCACTCTAAATGTTACAAGAGTTTAGTTTCTTTCTTTTTGGGGGAAGGAGGGGCAGGGGGGGGGGGTCATATTAGGGTGCATTTCCACTCCTGCATCCAGAGAGTACTTAGATGTGACCTCAGTTAAGCTTTAAAACAAGCCCACTTATTAGCCCCAACTCCATGAAATAGCAAAATAATCATACAAAATAATTCATACCATGTACCCCCCCTCCCCAATTGTTCAACCCTAAACAAGCTGGCCAATTGCATGGCCCTAATCCCATAAAATGGCAAAATAATCATACCAAACCATTCATACCTTATACTCGACCCCTCTCTCTGTCCCCCTCGATAACCAACCCACACCTCTCATTTACCCAACCAAGTCCACCTGGTACCCCCATCTTCCACCGCCTCCCACACCATCTCCCCATCTCCGTAGGAGGAGGATGCGGTCCACTTAATTGCAACCCATCCTAGACAGCCTTTAGCGCCACCACCACCGAGCAAGATAAGACAAGACAAGGCAAGGCAAGGTGTGGCTGGGTTCCTCCTCTCCCTGTTCCCCCTCTATATAAAGCACCCCACACCTCTCATCAACCCAACCAAGTCCACCTTGATACCCCCATCTTCTACTGCCTCCTACACCATCTCCGTGGGAGGATGCAGTCCACTTTAATTGCAACCCATCCTAGACAGCCTTTAGCGCCGCCACTACCAAGCAAGGCAAGGTGTGGCTAGGTTCACCGGTGCAGATGGGACCCTGAAATCAAATCAACCAGCCTCACACCTCCCTACAACCATGCTTACACGTACATGGTGCTATCCCCAACAACCTGTTATAGTAGTGCACAACCCAAAACAATTACAAAATATCCTCATCTGCCAATCTCCCAGCTCCGACTGAGTAGTTATACACTGGTATTGCATTCCGGAGCATCCTTGTCCTTTATAATAATAATAATATGTTTTCATTAATTCATGTGAAATGGTTCTTGAGGGTAAAAAATTGTCATATTTTGGATAGAGATTAAGTTATATCTTATGAGATATACAGCCATAAATAATGTTAAATTAATTGCAAGAAGACAACCTTTGTGTCAGTTGTTTATGGTAATGCAACCTGCATCTTTTTCTTTTTTTGGGGGGGGGGGGGGGTGGGGGAGGGTGGAGAGGTAAATAGGATACATGTACATTGGTTTTAGAGCGTATTTTACATGGTTGTACTTTCAAGAGATATCAAAAGAAGATTACTAAATAAATTACAGTTGACTCAAGGAGCCTTGGACCAATTTTACTTTTATTTTTGCATCAATTACTTCTTTTCTACATGGGATAGACCTTAATTTTCATAAAGTCAACTGCATTTTAATTACAAATTGCTAGGATTACCATGCTCCTGGTTATGAGAGCTGGGCATATATCAGTATTTACCAACAATATTTTTTTTTAATGAGACTGGTGGAGGGATACACATTCATATTGATGGAAAGGGAATGAAGAAATTTGACAGATATTTAAACATACTTACCTGTTTGCCAAGATGGAAATTGCCCTTTCCTCCGATGATATGTTTGCTTTTCACAAAATGAGTGGGTCTAGTGTTCAATTTGCCATAGTGTGAAGCAAATAATGCAAGTTAGCTTCCTCAAAAACTAACGATAACTTTGATATTTTTCCTTTATATTTAGCTGGCCCTCTAAATTTGTGGCCATTATGTTCAGGTTACAATAAAGTCAAGTAAACCCTGCAAGTTAGCTCCAAACTGGATTCATAGAAATTTAAAAATCAAGGGATCTTTTTTTTAAACCTCTAGTAATAAAATAAACATTAAAAAAATAATGATAAGAGAGCAGATGGCTCACAGATTTCAAAAGAGTGAATAGTCGAACTCTTTCATGCATTAATCCCTGCACAAAAAATAAAAATAAATTCTTTGATTCTTAGGTGCTGCTATCTATTCACACCATTTCAGATTCAGACAATAGCTGTCTTTTTCATTAAAAAAAAAATCTCATTCATTAATCGGTGCACCTTGCACTGTGAATCATCATCATTCAATCTCCATTGTGTTCTTATGGCCTGGAGATATGGATAACCGTTGATCTATATGTGACCTCCGCCTGACCTAGCTAGACATGGACGAAGCCCTCTTTTGTTTTCTGCTGTGATTCGCGGGTATCTGTCTGAAGCAACCAGCCGTGCATTCTAGCATGAATGGGGAATATATAAGAAGAGAAAACGAGATATAAAAGCAGCTTGCAGCTTGGCATCCAATCCAGGCACTACTAAAATCAATGAAATTTGTCTAGAGCGCTTTAATTGGAAACCGAATTATGGGTCTATGTTAATTACTCTCCCTCTCTCTCTCGACCCGTTGAGAGCTATTTATGTAGATATATACGGCAGCCATTGGCAAGAGGGCAATCCGCAAGGGCGTGTGTGTTCATGTGTGTGTGGCGTGTACGTGAGAGGGCAAAGCAGCGAATATAATCACTCCACTTGAGCAGTGTGTGTTATTCGATGCATGCTTGTGTTGTTTTTTTATACCGAGAATCCTATTGAATAGACTCTGGATTGCTTTCGTTTTAAGGCATGATGGATTGATCAATGATGTACATGTAATTCAAGGCATGATTATAATAATGAAGGTAATATCAAGATCTTAATTTGCATAAATGGTTACCAAGGCTACGTATACGGTGTACAATTATACAAGCAGTTTAATGCTCCTTGCAAAGTTGACGTTAATGTAATCAATACATGAGTAAATCATTACATATTAGTGTAGTTGGAAAACTGAAACAGATTTCAATGTCATTCATGTAGATTTTTATAGATAATTACACCATTTAAATCTGGTTAATTTGCATAATGGTATGATTTACATGTCATTTAGTCTGGAAGTGTATTGTATTATTGAAGTTTAACATAATGTTCATGCCTAAGAATCCAGCTGTAATCTTCATGAATAATTGTCATCGTACTTGCGGATGAGTCACTAGAATATTCTGAATAATTCATAAACAAGATCTTACATCTTTTATGAGATATTGGATGACAGTGTCCTGGTACTATGTCAGGGTGACCTCGCACTTCTTGACATGGATTCACCTACGATTTGGCTGTCTACATTGACAGAAATTTGTACTTTGTATGTGATTACTTTTATATTAATGTGATTGGTGAAGCATGGAGGGAAAAAAAATAATCATCCTTTCTCATCTTTTTTTCTTCTATCTTATTTTTACAGAGCGGTCCACACCCCGCCAGCCTTCTAGCGCTACAGCAAATCTCCGAACTGGTGCTGCCTCAGTCCCGCTTCAACCAGAGCTCAGGGAGGAGTCTTGGAGGAGGTAAGACCCATGGGGTGTGGTATCGAGTGGGGAGGAGTTTGGGTGTGGTATTGGGGTGGGGCATACGTGGGACAAGTCGAGTGAAGCAACACAAAAGACGGGGAGCATTATGAGTTGGGATAGTGTACTTGGTAGAGTTATGAAAAGAGAAGGGACAAGTTATGATAGTCAAGGGGAGTAGTCCTTGGAAGGAGGTGAGCAGGGAAATGCTTTGCCCATAGGGTGTGGCACAAGGCATGGCACAAGGCATGGCACAGGGCGTGGCACTAGCTTTACCATAAAATGTAGCGTTGAGTTGGGGCACAAGGATAAGTTATCCAATGACAAGATTTTACGTTCTTACCTTATGTAGGATATTGAGAAGCATTATGTAACTAACAATTATATATTGATGTTATTGCATACTAACATGAAGAGAATAGAAATATGCTGAATGTAATAATATTAAGATCGAGAAAACACACTTTTAAGATTTAGATAACTGATGGTAAATAATACAAAATTTGCTCAACAACAATTAACTTTCCGCCACCTTCATTCTTGAAGTGGCAAGTTTTTTAACTGCGACAGGAATCGACGGTGGTCGCTATTTAGAATGATGAATTGGGTTTATTTATGAAAATGGGGTAACATGATTATTTAAGAACTTCAGGGAAGTAGCCAGGTATTTAGACTGAATACGTTGGCCCAGTAACCCACATTTGCATTAGTTATTCAATAATGGCATGCCAGTCAAACAGCCTCTAGGAAGAATGGCCACAGCACATTAGCTCCTTCCAGTCCGTTTCTTCTGCCTCTGTCTGCTTCTTCATGTTTCTTTATTATGTGTGAACCTTGGCTGAACTCGTGGTCTCAGATTTGACAATTTACTAATAAGAGCGAAGAAGGACATTTTGACACCTGTACGGTGATTATGTGGTCTTGCATGATCTGTGTTGCATTCGCAGAACAATGGTTTGGAAAATTGTGATGCTTGAGTGCTAATAGAGGGGTATGCGATTCTGAAATTTAGAAACTTAACTGAATACTATGATGTTTTTAGGATGATACAACACATTTTGAAAATATATATGACAGTGGATCTGCATTTACAGAGAGAGAGGGGGGGGGGGGCACTCAATGTACTCTCTGGACTCTAAAACTATAATTCACCCAGACTGAAATTCCTCTTTGTACAAATCTGAAATAATACCTTTCATCAATATCTCAATATTTAATGGTATAAAGTTGAGAGAACACCCATGCTGTGGAGCCTGAAACATTTCACATTCATGGTGAATTTTGAATTCATTCTATCACTAATTTTGGATAGATTTTATTTATCCTTGCAAAATTATAGCAAGTAGGCCTAAATGGGTTTTTTTCCTTCCAAATTAAATGCAAGAGCCTATTTTGTAGTTCTCAGGTCGCTATCTGATCATTATACATTCCAAAAAATGAACATTGATTCTATAATCAAAACGATATCTCTCTTTTAAAATGGAAAATTAATGTAGAGCTCAAATGTGGATTGTGTGTCATTTGATACTCTTTACTCAGGGAACAAAGGAAGTGGTGTTTTGTCATTCGTCGTCTTTGATTTATGAACATACGAATCCGTACATTTATATAAATGATGGATTTGTATGTCAATCTGTTTATGCATGTTCGATGCTCACTCTTATGTATCTGTCTTCCCTGTACAATGTTTCCCTCCCTCTATAGTTAAGATAAATCTGTCATATTGTATACTGTAACAATAATCTGTCGTATTGTATACTGTAAGAATAATCGTTTGCTTTGTTCTCTTGCATGATCGCTATTTCCCATTCACAACAGCAGGAAGATACGGAACAGGTGGAGTACACTTCATATTTTTTTGTAAAAAAAGAAAAGAAACCGCATCTTTAATTTAAAAAATCATCGCTAATTCATTTCAAAGCTTACCCAATCACCCCCCTTCACCCTATAAGTCCTTACTCGTCACTCCGACAAAAAATAAAATATTTTTTGGGGGTACATTTTAAGAAGTACCAAAGTCAAATGGTAGTTGTGTTATAAATAGTATGTTTTCTTGGTGTTGGTATTCAATGTATCGTGGGTTCTAATTTCCAGTCTTATTTCTAAAGCAGAGCGATTTTAATTCAGTTGCAATATCAATTCCCACTCTTTATTTTTATTCAAATGATCAGTTGGTTTTGTCTCATATTTGGGTTTTTACAAATTTCACTGTCTTATTTGAAATAAGATTATATTTTGTTTTCTTGCTTACGTTTGGTGTTCATGAAAGGAAAAGCTTCTTAAGTAAATTGTAGAATTTCAAAAGCCTTTTTAAAGTGCATACATAAACAATTCAGTTGCAGTTGGTCTAATAGAAATGAAATAACAAAAATAAATGCTTAATACCTTTGCTGGTGTCCATATTTTCCTGCAAATTCATTGTGGAAGTATAATACTTGATGCAATATATTTAAAAAGAATATTTTTCTATCTTTAATATAATATGGTGCAAGTGGGCCTTCAAATACTGTAAACGGAATCCCAAACAAATTTAGCACTTCTGTAAAACTGGAAACTCTCAAATTTCTTTTCCATGATTTGCAATTATTAGCCATTAGTTTGTGACGAATCACAAAATACAGTTTATGTTTAATTTAATAGTTATGTAGCATGAAAGTTTTCGAAATATCTGCAACACCTGCAAAATTAGCAAAGGTTTCATACAGTCCGAACTTTCTGGTGCTACAGAAGTCATTATCGAGTTATTAACACATTCATTAGCATATTCAATAGTGCAGAGTCATTAAAGTCATCAAGAAGTCATTGATATATACATTAATTATTGCAAAGTGCACTTCGCACAAATGTATGCTGTAATGTTCCATGTCACAACCCTAACCTACTAACAGCGGTATGATTCATACAAAATAACACCACCTTCAGACCTGTATGCCCACCTACTTAGTATCGTGTCCTTGAGCATGTCTGATGAGAGCCATAAAGGCTTTAATGCATACGCTTTAACACAGAGCTAGCACCCTTCTGGCTCTCAACAGATGATGTCATAGCTCTTATCATCTTGTAGTTCTAATCCGATATAGAGACTAAGTAAATACACCTTTTGGATTACTGCTAGTTTAACTAGGTGTTAATACCCATATTTTCTCTATAGTCACATATCAAGTATAGTTTCTTTCTCTCTCTCTCTCTCTCTCTCTCTCTCTCTCTCTCTCTCTCTCTCTCTCTATCTCTCTATATCTCTTTCTCTCTCTTTCTCCCTCTTTCTCTCTTTCTCTCTCTTTCTGTTATCTTATCTTAATCTCATTCAAACTAATTTGGTCATTCAAGTACTTAGTCACTGGTAAATCTGACATTGACACTTAACAGGCAAAGCCACACCGCCATAAAGTAATAATCTCTAATAGGGTTTAAAGGTGATTTTCCATATTTCAAATGAAATTTTGTAAAATCCTTCTTAGATATCAAGGGCAACCGCATAGTTATGAACACACACTTTGCACTTTGTGTATTTAGGAAAAGATGTAGTTGAGTAGAGATGTAGTTGAATACAAGAAATGTAATTTTTAAAATGAACTAAGTGTAATAATTTGTAACAGCAAAATTCATGCCATGCTTCTTACTTCATACGTGTTTGCCTGTTATTCAAGCCTATGTAAATATCTATGGTAAAAAAAAAAAAAAAAATTAAATTTAAAAAAGAAGAAGAAAGAAACAAGTAATGTAGAGGATCATATTCTTTTGCCTGTAAACTATCCAAAATCTTTTACAGCAATGTGAAACAGGTTTATGCAGGATATTTAAGCACATAATATTATATATCTATTGTTTTAACAAAAGAAGTACATACGGTCATAATTTGATAGGAGGATAATGGAATGTGTATTACATATGCCACCTGTTTGTAGTAGTGACTCTCATTGCCATGGAAACTCCATGCTTAAGCCATTGAAATGGTGGTATAGATAGTTGAATGATTTAGATGTAAAATTCTGGCATCTGTCCATAACAGGATAAATAGGGACAAAAGAGAGAAAGAAGTAAAATGATGTTTTTCTAAAGAAACATATTTGCTCTGCTAAATCAAAATAGTTTAAAAAGCTAACAACACATTCTTTATCTTGTTTGTTTTTTAATTTGTTAGTTTCATTCTAAGTTAATATACTAACTTTTGCACAAAGTAATACATTATGTTTGCATCATGACCTCATATTAATTACAACCATTCCCATTTTCAGCTTATTAAACAGCGATTGATAATCATACAATTTATTCATGCATTTACTAATTTTATGGATATATTTTGCATTCCCTCTGTTATATTGTGTTCAATAATACAACAGGCAATTTGAAGTGCCCATTCTAACTCAATAGATGGATTAATTGTGATTGTCTAGTAATGATATTCATTTTATTTAAGATTTGTTTAGACATTTTACATAATGTTTTTGGTTTACCATTGAGAATGTTTGAGTTAAATAGTGTTGTATCATTTCTATATCATTGGGTTATACATTCAGTGAGCCTTTGATAATATTGTGTGAGCCTGTGATAAAATTTAGGTATTATCATTTTGCATCCATTGTTTGGTTATGAATTTAATTCAACAAATTTTGACAAAAATAAGACTTTGCCTAACTTGCTCTCATTTGCTACAGTTAAAAACTTTATTATGTAGCTATATTATGGTCATATCTATATATATTTATTTTCACTCGATGTCTTTGATTTTGATTATTTTTTTTTACCAGTGAACCAAATTAAGCTTCAAAAGTAATGTTTTTCTTGTGAAGAATATGTGTAACAGATATGAAATTCAGAATTCATTATTTTGTACAATTTGAGCTAACAAAGGGCAACACAACAAATATTTAGCTCTGTTTATCGTATAATACTCTCGCTACACCAACAAGACCGACACCGGGCCGACAGTATAGACCAAACAAACAATAACATTACCATGATTAGCTAAGAATCGGTCGGTTTAGAGTCGGCATGTAGTTGGTTTGGCGGTGTGAGTGAGGTACATAATATTAGGTACAGATTCAATCCTACAAGTATGCATGTAAGTGCAATACCACCATCTACATTTACCTTTGTCAATGGGTAATTCCATTAGATGTGTCCTGTATGATATTAATCATTTATTTTATCATTAATTTAATTATTTATTCAAATATTAAAATCCTTTGCCACGACTATTGGCAAATGATTCTCACTAGTTTCATCATCATAAGTCAGTGGTATTACTTAAAGAGATTTACAGCATCATTTCCTGATGAAATAAATGGATTTAGGACAAACAGTACACATTGAACGGTATTGCTTACAAGTTGTAGTGTATTGGGTCAAATGCATTTTGAACCTTGTTATCCCTAAAAATTCTGTGTGACCAATAACATTCAGTTCTCCTCATTCATTGACATCTTTTTCTGTCCATTTATTACGTTAGGTTCGAGTTGTGTTATACCAGTAGCAGACATCCGAGGTTCTGACTCTCACAACTACACAAAGGGAGAGAAGGCTCTTCGCTGCAAGCTTGCCTCCCTCTATCGTCTTGTAGACCTCCATGGCTGGACCCATCTCATATACAACCACATCTCGGTAAGTCAACTTCATGTTTCATTTGTTTGGGGCCAGAAGGACATGAAGTTGTGGACTGTAACACAGAGATAATGCCCTTCTGGCTCTAAACGAATCATAATGACTTCTATTGCTGTGGAAAAAATTGTATACATTCAGTGTTCTTTTTCAAAGCAGTCTCATATACAACCACATCCCAGTATCAAGTCAACTTAATTTTTCATCTGTTTGGAGCCAGAAGGAAATTAAGTTTATTTTTCCTTGTAAAAAATGCGTTATCTGTAAACTGAATTTTATCAGTGAGAATCGAATTTTGATATGGACAATAAATACATTGATTCAATTCAATCATATTCTATTTCTCGGAAAATGCTTGCATACTTGGAACATCAGATAGCGGTACTGATTTCATGCATTAAACAAAAAACAAACAAAAATTGTTTGCGAGGATGATTTTTTTTCTTCCTACAACACAATTCAAAACCTTGTATAAGGTCGGGTAACCTGTGTTGTGCATTAGCAATGACTTTATACTTAGTCATATTGCTATTCGTTATTCATTATGGGCACTGGGCACTCATTACAAACACGCTACATGGACCTCAATTCATAGCAGCAATATCCAATGCACAAGCAAATATCCATTACAGGTTAAGTGACTATTGATTTCTAAAAGGCTCGATGTAATTAAACTTTTGATATCTAAAAGCCTTTGTCATAACCTGAACAAAGGGCACTTACACAAAGATTATATATTCAACCTCATTGATCTACTCTAACGTTGATTTTAATAAGTGGTAGACATGTATATTTCATGGTACACACACCGTTAAAGGAAACTGAGTACGGTAGATTGTTTAGTTCTATTAAAATCTTTGATGTTTGTCCACAGGAAATTAATTGTAATTACAGTGAATTAGAGAGCCAAGTTCATATTGTGTCATTTGTTTGACATTTAGGGAGTTTATATTCAGTAGTGCAAATCTTTTCCAAGAAATATCTGTTGACATTTCCTACATGTTAGGTCAGTTGGGTAATAGGATTAAATGTAAATTTATGTGATATTATCGGAGCCTTGTTACGAGGTCAGCCAAATTTCAAGAACTCATTGACATGGCCGGCATTCCACGGCTCGATGGCAACGTCAAGAAGGATCTCGGAATACGTGATCGTGCCACGACCCTCTGCTATGTGTCGTGGTTATCAGGTTATCTGAAATCTTGTTAAGTGACTTGATATCGGAACTTCGTTGAGGTTTCTCTTTTTATCAGATAGGCTATTACTATAGGACACTTGTGTATGTCTGACTTTCTCATGTACCTTTCCTTGATGTTCTTGGGGATGTTTCTGAGTTGAGTATCAGCCTATTATAAACTATCTATAGGCTGCTTCATGAATACTTCATTAATAAATGCAGTGGGCTTTGCAAATATTTACTTTGAGGCTATGTACCTACATGTACTTGTTGGTTCTTATATGACATCAGAACCAGGCACTTAACGATTGCAAACCATAAATGCATTCCCAGAATTCAGATACTTCTCAAATAAAGATCTACCAATTAAGCAAAGGAAGATTCTCCCAAACAGCATGCAACTACACTTGTATTGTGGTCACTACTATCTGTTCTGCAATTTGTCAAACATTTGTATGGCTTCACCGACACTAATAACCCAAATCTTCACTTTACGGTTTGGTTAGTCTGGTCTAATTCTCTCTCTAAGGTTTGACCACTAAATGGTGCAAATCTTATAGGCCTGATTGACAATATTTGAGTGTGATGTTCCATCATTCGAATCTAAGCCAAACACAATAGAAGTTGACAGTCAGTGGAGAAAAAAATTGGTTCACAAAGGTTGCTTGCTGGACTGTGAATGTCAAATCGGCCTCTCCCTTCTAAAACTTGTAAAAGGATCAATTGATAAAGAGGTAGCTATACACCCTTTGCAGTAAACTTTGTAGAGAGAGGTTCGCTGTGCTTTCAATTTTGTCTTGCTTTTGATACCAGACAGTAGGATAATAACGGCTGAGAGGGCATACAAGGATGCTATAGCTGATTACACACGTTTTTGAAGTGTTTGACGATTGTTGGTCCATTGTCAAGGATGTATAGACATGAAAGGCTAGCAGGTGCATTTACTCAGAATGATTTTCCACTGGAAGGGATATCGGGGTAAAGAATGTACATACATAAAGACATGCATGTGGTGTCAGGATGGGTTAAAGGGTAGGCTTCCTCTAGGCCAAGTGTATTTCTACTTGAAATAAGATACAGATTATTATAACGGCAATGAAAATATGGGCAGTATTCAATTCACAGTGCTACTTTTCGCTAAGTTTGCATTTTCTAAACTAAAGCAAAGCTTAGTTGCACACATGTGTGTTACTGTATTTCTTAGGTGTATATACAGTATTTACATGTAGTTATCACTTTAAAAAGGGGTTAGCCAGGGTGTCCATGAAATGATAAATTTGACATTACAAGTTTGATGAAACAGCCCCCTCCTTTTTAATAGAATTATGTATAATGTTGGTGTAGGTAAACATGAAGTTGAATTATTTGGTTGGCCTTATTCCATGTTTGGGGGTATGGGTGCATTGACATGTCTACTCCCAAACACACCCCCCCCCCCCTTCTCTCTATTACAGCTTGCTGCACCCTTATGATTACTTGTAAAGCTAGTTGGGCAATATCATAGATCGGTAATCAGAGTCATAAGCCTGCTGTCACATAGTGATAATTGCACTGCGGCATGACATGAGAAACCACATCAGACTTCATGGTGAGGTAACACGCCCTCCTGCTGTCAATGGGTCATTTATACCGGTGTGTAGTCTGCCCATAATCAGACCACCGGTATCAGGTTTCCAAGGGGTCAGATTCGGCTGGTGAGGGCGAGATCGGTGTGGTGAGTGGTCTGAGAAAGATTTGGCAAGTTCATGATTGAATTTCTACCATAAGGACGTTATTGGGGGAGGGGGTATCAAAACTGTTATTAAAATGTTATTATGATTATTATATTCACCACTACCCCCAGGCCCCACCACCACTATCATTATCACACTCTACCCATTTTCACCACCACCATGTCTTCTCCTTTTCCAATAATTTTATGATTACCATCATTGATGTTCATCCCTTTCATCTTTACCGATGTATTGTCAGCAAAACAAACACTATCATTATCACCACCCTCTCTTGTACTAGTACCAAAAGCATAGCAACACGCCAACACTTTTACCAGTAACACCAGTTCCTCTACCACTAGTTTCACCACCACCACCTCCACCACCACCACCACACCCCCTCCACAACTGCCACCATTACCACCATCCCAACCTCCCCCATTTCCACCACCACCACCAACACTGACAACAACAACAACAACATTATCACCTCGATCACCACCACCACCACCATCCTTCACTGTACCATAACCAGAGCTCCCACACCACTTCACCTAACAGTGACAATCAAAATCACAGAGGATAAACATTTGCTCATCCTGTTTCATGTTTTGCATGTTAGCTTCATCAATCAAGTTCACACATACATGTACATGTAGATCAAGAAAAATAACAAGTTGACCTGGGAAGAAGATCTATGCATGTTTAAAGTTTACATTGCCAGACTAGATCCTTGCCACACCTGTTCTTGGGAGGCAAAGGTGAGGAGAACCTGTCATGGATATGATCACAAGAGGGAGATAAATAGGTGGATGAATCACAGATTATGAATGTCAAGGTCAGAGAACAGCAGTCTGTCTACCTGGGATTGTGTGGTCTTTCGGTGTGGTAGAATAAAGGAGTAGTTGCAAACAGTCTGTCTATCTGGGCCTGTTGTCTTATGTGTGGTAGAAGAAAGAGTGTTTGCAAGCAGCCTATCTACCTTAGCCTATTGTGGTGTTGCATGTGGTTGCAAGCAGTCTTCCTTGGCCTGCCGTGTTCGTAATAAGTGTGGTAGAAGAAAGAAGTGGTTGCACTTAAACATACCGTATACCTTCTGCCGAATGACCTGCTCAAAAAGAAGTCATCAAGAAGATTAAGGTGTACTATCTAGCATAGATGATGAGTTTTTCATAATTTGAAGAGATTACTATAAATGATACAGAAATTATTGTTAACAAGCAGCTTTTGAAGATGGAATTTATAGGATATAGAAAAAACTCTTTGATATCATATAGGGTATTAGGACAGATTATATTATGTCGTACATATTTATGTAGATGTTACAGGAAGTGAAAAGAGATTGGAGAAGGGAGTGGGGTGGCAAGTAAGTTTCGGTTCAGCTGAGAAGAAATGTCACAGATTTCTACAATAAGTGTCATTTTGTTATTTACCATTCACTCTGAGTAAACTCTTGCTGAAACTCCTTTTCAATCGTCCAAGCATACACGCCTACATGAGCATCCAGGCGACCATATCTCATTGGGGATAGTGTTAATATTCATTGCACAGACTCTGCAGAGGTTGACTGAGTAAGATCTCAATCAAATTCAAAGCTGGTAGTAGAATGTCCTCATATGACCCCTACCAGATGGCCTGTCCTGAAATGACCCCTGGTAGACATGAGGACAAGGAGAGGCCCAAGGCTGAATGAAGCATAAACAAAATCTAGGGATCACAGAACACATTGCTCAGTCATGTTTAGAAGGGGAGCGAGAAGTTGCTAACCCTGTAAATCTTATGGGCTTTAGACCCTTGTAACAGGAGGGAGAAGGGCCAGGCAGGATGGAGTATTTTTGATGATGGGTGGGAGTCAAGTGCTGGTGACCCATAGTTGGTAAATCATCAGATTTATCCTAATAAATGTAATTTATGTGTTCATTTCCCCCTTTTCTTTTTGTGTATCCCCCCCCCCTCTCTCCTTCCCACTCCCCAAATCAATTTTTTACTAAAGATATTTTTTCAACATATATTGTATTGTATAGTTTGTGAAATGGATAGATAATTGGATACCACTGAAAAAGATGTCTGGTTTATTTGTACAGATAATTTTTTCATGGTTAAACAAGCTAGTT